CATTCAACAGAGTTTCAAATGTTTCACATCCTACTGACCTCCAATTCCTCCATTTCTCACATCCCTCTTAACATATATCCCACTTATCTCACATTCCCCTTATCTCAGATTCCATTTAATTCCCATTTCCTGGGGTCTCATATTCCCCTGTCTCCACATTATCCCATGTTACTCAATGCATGAGTCTCAATTTCCCTGAGTTTCACATTCCTCATATCTCACATCGTCTGTACCTCTGCCAGTGTCCCCTCAACCACATACCATGTGATCATTGAACTGGTGTGCATTTGTCTGATGAATCATCTTCAGAAGTTCAACATTTGTTACCAAGGGAAAGCAAAAAAGTTAAAGATTTGATGGTTGCTTTGTACCAGTTTGTTGCACCAGAATTTCACATTCTGGTGTTCACTGATCTTGTTGTCCCGTTTACCTACAGCAGTTAACTTAAGTAGCTGTTGGAAGAAGCTCTTTGTGTCTTCTTATAGTGAGTCTCAACCCAATGGACCAGTTTTTGTAATGTCAAAGGATCGGTTTAGAAAGGAGAGATCTCAGATTTGTGTTGTGCTGTATACTGGGTGCTGAGGGAACAGATACATTGTAGTTTGATGGTCAGGGGAGAAGTGGCACATGCCTATTGCTTGAGGGTGGTCATGGGCAATTGATAGTTTTACAATTTTACCACTTTTGGAATGAGTGGGGCTGTGTTAGGAACTGGACAGCTAACACTTTGTAAACAAGCTTCTCAACAGCATTGGATGATTATTTTTACAATGGATTTGTAGAGAGGAGAATATGTGTGGTGTAGGATTGAAGTGATATGACTATAAGACATGGGAACAGAAGTGTGCCATTCGGCCCAATGAGTCTCTGGAGCCCAATTTACTTCTTCCAGTTTGATGTGGGACCCTAGTTACTAACTTTGATGGACTACCAGGCTGAGATGTCTTGTAATCCATTGATCAGATGGTGACCACCTAGTATCTGAACTTTGACTGTCATCTGTTTAGAAACGCTCACTTGGGGCTGTGAGTTTGCACTAATCTAACTGACCACTTAGTAGGGATCTGGCCTGCAGGAGAGAGTGGAGGACTCAGAGCCAGCCTTTGAGATGCTACGTGAAGAGCCATTGGAGTTCAAGTCCAGCGACAAATGTGTTGCCTTGACATTATCATCGACATCATCCTCATTCTGGTTGATGACTGTGGATACGGTGGTCTCCATCCGGCTGACCTTGTACATGCTGCCCTGGGTTTGGAGAAACTTGGTTGATTTCATCTCCAGCCCCTCATAATCGTTGCTTTTCACAAACGGACACCAACGGAAAACACGACGGAATCCAGCTCGGAACCTGGAATGGAAAACAGCAGCAAAATCTCACCAGTAGCTACTCTATAAATAAAATGGCTTGGGATTTCCCTAACTCTGAGGGGTCACACCAGAGGTTCCAGCAACCCTTCCTCAAGGAATGTTCAGCAGCAAAACCTCTGTCAACTTCATCTTAAAACAAATAGGATGAAGAGAGCCAGAATGAACTCCATACACTGTTTCCCTGGATTAGAGGGTATCAGGTTATGAATGAAAGTCATTCAACTAAGAGAGAAGGTGGCAACTCCAGGGGAATGCAAATGCAAATACCATGATGACGTTTAAAAACAAAATCAATTCTATTGGGCTTTCCCCCACATCCCCACCATTACAAGCAGTGTTCTAAAGGAGGTTGGACTTTGAGGTGGGGGTAGAAAAGGTGGGAGGAAGGATCACCGGACCCGAAACGTTAACTCTGTTTTCTCCTCCACAGATGCTGCCAGACCTGCTAAGCTTTTCCAGCAACTTTGTTTTTGTTCCTGATTTACAGCACCCGCAGTTCTTTTGGTTTTTATTTGAGGTGGGGATATTGGGCCTGTAATGATGTTGCCACCTAAGGTAAATGAAATGGTCCCAAGCTGAAATTTGCCGGTTATCCAGAGAAAGCATCTCTGTCCCTGGATAAACTTACCCTGTTGTAGAAGCCTGAGGAACACCCAGTCAGCACTTGTGAAATTCAGAAGCAGAATGGGAATGGCCATGAATCCCACTGTTAGTTTGGTGTGTTCCTGGGAAACTTCACACACCCATCAAATTGTAATTGAGTGAAAATCAAATAAAGTTAAGTTGCAAGAAGCTGTGGTACAGAATCAAAGTTTTATATGCATCTGACAGCTTTAGAATAGCAAAAATGACCCAGGGCACTAAGTATTATCCAACAAAATTGGCATCAAGTCACATCAGGAGGTATTATAGTTGGCCAAAACCATTTTTAACAATGAGGTTTGAAAATAGCATCTCAAAGAAGGAAGGAGAAATGGAGAGGTTTAAATAGGGAATATCACAGGTTAGCATATGCCAGTTGAAGCTACACCCAGCAAGGGAGCAATTATTAAAATTGGGAGCTTGAGGTCCAAATCTATGAAGCACAGATATCTTCAAGGACTGTAGGGCTGGAAGAGATTTCAAAGGCAAGAAAAGCTAAGGTTATAGAAGGATTTGAAAACAAGGATGAGAATTTTAAAATCAATTTCCTGACTTACCAGGAGTCAATGTAGTCAGGCCAGATAGGACTGAGCAGGACCTGAAACAGTTAGAATGCAGGCAGCACAGATTTCTACAGCACCAAGTTGACCAAGGGCATGTTGGAGAGGTGTGCATTCAAATAGTCATATGCGGAGCTATTAAAGACACAAATCATATTTACACCAGCAACTGAGCCAAGGCACAGTTGGAGGTAGGTGGTGGAAATAAACATTACTCAAGTTCACCTGGTGGATGGTTTGAAACCCATTTCACGGTTAAGGTTACAAAGAGTCTCGTTCAGCTGTTCACCAAATTTTCCTGTCACAGACCATGAGGATGTTTAAATGTGCTGATCATGACATTGTTTTGCATGGGGAAGGAATTTCCTATCTGCTGTTAGCACTTACCGCTCATTGAGGCAGCAGTAGATGACCGGGTTATACATTGTAGAGCTCATCGCCAGCCAGATGATGGCCAGGTACACTTGCTGGATGTATCTCTTCTGGTAAATTTCCGGATGGAAGAGGTAGAGCAGGAAGTAGATGTGGTAGGGAAGCCAGCACACAGCGAACGTGGTCACCACTATTATCATCATTTTCACTACCTGTAAGCCAGGGATAAAGAGCAGCCTTTAGAATATGAAATTCTCCACAATAGACTTCCATCCCACAGTGCAGCCAAACTTCATTGCTTCCTTCAGCAATTGCATGCAGACAGTCTCTGGGATTTTCCTCTGCAAGACATGAATGGTGGAGGTAAACATTTTCAGAGATGAAAGGAAATAAAAATACAGGTGAGATCAACAGCTCTCAGATCCAACCCTGACTTTGTTATTAAGCCTGCTGACAAGGCTGGTGCTGTCGTTGTCTGGTGGACTGACATCTATATTGCAGAGGCTGACCGCCAGCCCTCAGATACCTCCTGCTATCTCCCCCTGGATCATGACACCACCACAGGATATTATGCCATTGTAACATTTGATTGAGTGATCAGACTCCCGTCCTCCCCAATGTCTCCAAGCTCATAGTCTCCCAACCTGCATAGCTTGCTTCTGATTGATTGATTTGATTTATAGTCACGTGTACTTAAGTACAGGGCAAAGCTTTGTTTGCGAGCAGTACAGGCAGATAATAGTAATCAAGGACATACAGATGATCGGGTGAAAAATACTCAGACAGAGTAGGGCACGCTGGTTACACCGCATAGGATGCATGCGGGGTAAGATCATGATTAACAAAATCAGCATTCATCAGTCTAATAATGGCAAGGAAGAAGCTATTCTTGAGCCTGTTCGTGTGTGTGTTCAAGCTTCTGTATCTTCTGCCTGATGGAAGAGGTTGTAGGAGAGCATTACTGGAATGGGATAGATCTTTGATGATGTTGTCAGCCTTTCTGCAGTGGCAAGCTGTGTAAATGGAGTCTATGGATGGGTGGGTGGCTTCTGTGATGGTCTGGGCTGTGCACACAACTTTCTCTAGTTTCTTTCGGTCCTTGGCAGAGCAGTTGCCATACCTGGTCATTATGCACCAGGACAGTATACTTTCTATGGTGCATCTGTATAAGTTGGTGAGGGTCCTTATGGACAAGCCAAATTTCCTGAGCAGCCGAGGAAGAAGCGGCATTGTTATGCCTTCTTGACTGTCATATTTACAAGGGAAGCCAATACAGGGTTGTTGGTTATTGTTACTCCTAGGAACTTGATGGTCTTAACCCTCTTAATCTCCACTCCATTGATGTACATGAGGGCGTGTTCTCCTCCTGTCTCTCTGAAGCTCTTTAATTTTGCCGATGTTGAGAGAGAGTTATTCCCTCTTTCACAAAACCTACAAACGGGAATGGCCAGGCAGACCCATTGTTTCTGCCAGCTCCTGCTCCACAGAACTCATCTCTTCCAAACGCAAGTCAAATTTGTTCCCCTTGTCTAGTCCCTGCCCACTTACATCCACGATTCCTCTGATGTTTTATTTCAGTTTCAGAATTTCCAGTTTGCAGGCTCCAGCCACTTCCTCTTTACCAGAGATATGCAATCCTTTTCCATGTCCACCCTCCCCCCATCAGGATGGTCTCAGGGCTCTCTACTTCTTCGTAAAAAGAAACAGCCTGAACCCTCTACATCTACCACCACCATCATCCACCTGGACAAGTTCATCCTCACCCTGAACAACTTCTTTTCTAACTCCACTCACTTGATTCACCTCAGAGGGGCAGCCATATGTACCCACCTTGGGCCCCAGATCTGCCTGTCCCATTGTCAGTTTCATAGAACATTCCTTGTTCCAGTCCCATTCCAGCCCTACCCACAACTCTTTCTCCAGTATATCAATAATATCACACATGCTGCTTCCCACTCTCATCCGGAACTGGAAAAGTTTTTCAATTTCACTTCCAATTTCCACTCAACTCTCACCTTCACCGAGTCCATCTCTAACTCTACCCTTCCCTTCCTCGACATCTATTTCCATTTCTGGGGATAGGCTGGCCACTAATAACCATTACAAACCAACTGACTCCCATAGTTTCAGAGATAGCAGGAACTGCAGTTGCTGAAGAAGGGTCTAGGCCTGAAACATCAGCCTTCCTGCTCCTCTGATGCTGCTTGGCCTGCTGTGTTCATCCAGCTCTACACCTTGTTATCTCTGACTCCCATAGTTACCTTGATTATAAATCCTCACACCCCTGCTTCCTGTAACAACTTTGTTCCATTCTCTCAGTTGCTCTGTCTCTGTCACATCTGTTTTGATGGTGCCAACTTCGACAAGGAAGTCTCCAAAATATCCATCTTCTTTCTCAACCAAGGATTCCCCAGCACTGTATTTGACTGAGCCCTCAGCTAGGTCCTACCCATCTCCTGCACTTCAGCCCTCTCTTCCCTCCCACAACAGCAATAGGCTCCCCCTGTCCTCACCTATCGTCCCACCAGCATCCATATCCAGAGGAATATTAACCACCATTTCTCCCATCTCCGGCGGAATGTCACTACCAGCCACATGTTCCCCTCCCCTCCCTTGTCAGCCTTCCACAAGGACCGTTCCCTTCGGGACACCCTGTACCACTCCTCCTTTACTCCCATCACCCCCCACAGCCCTATAGCACCTTCCCCTGCAACCACATAAGTGTAAAACCTGACTGTTTACTTCCTCTATCCTCAATATCCAAAGGCCCTTTTCAGGTGAAGCAGTGCTTTTCCTGCACTTCATTTAATCTAGTTAACTGTATTTGCTACTCACAATGTGGTCTGTTCTACATTGGGAAACAAAGTGTAGACTGGGTGACCACTTTGCTGAATATCTACATTCTATCCACAAATCAAAATACTCAGTTTTCAGTTGCCTGCCACTTCAACACACCACCCATGTTCCCTGGCCAACATCTCTTCTCAGCTTGCTGCCGTGGTCCAGATAAACTCAACACAAGCTGGAAGAACAGCATCTATTTTCTGCTTGGGAAGTGTATGGCCTTCTGGACACAATATTGAGTTCTACAGGGCTTCAGGTACATTCTCCTATGGCCTTACTCCTACCCTAACATACCAGGCCTTGTTATCACATGGTCTGCTAATACACACAACCCATTGTTAGCCACTAATAGTCACCATTAGCAGCTATTCATTCTCCTATGCTGGTCATTATCTGCTCCTTTGTCAGTCCAGGTATTCTTCTCTCTCATTGTGCTCTATCCTCACCAATCACTTACTCCTTACCCCGACTTCTCATCCTATTTTCTCCATTATACACCAACTCTTTCCTGGCTCGCGTCAGTTCTGAGGAAGGATCAATGAACCCAAAACTCTGATTTCTTTTTTATACAGATGCAGCCACACCTTCTGAACTTTTCCGGCAATTTCTGTTTTTGTTCCTGTTTCACCTGTAGTGATTTCTCTTGTTGTTGTATTTCTTCTCATTTTCCAGTCAACCTGTTCAGAGATGTTCAGAGCATGTGGACTGCAAATGTTCAAGAAGGCAGCTCACTGCCACCTTCTCACGGGCAACCTGGGATAGGTAATAAATGCTGGCCAGCCAGTGATGCCCACGTCCCATGAGTGAATAAGTTAAGCATTACACACTTCTGGATTCAATGTAACTTCTAGCCAAACCTCCTGGTCCACAATTAGGCGCATAACCACTGCACCACAAGGCCCCATATTTACTCTTGTAGTATTCTAGACTTGATTGCTTTCAAGTGTTCCACACTTCTGTTAGTAAGAACCCCAACTTTTAAAGAGACTGGCTTTGATTGATTGTCAAGCTCTCAAGGGTATTTGATTTGCTGGACTTGCTAGCTCCCAAGGCTCTGATTCTCTGAAGAAATGGAGCAGCCCTATTTGTGTGCCTGGAGATGACAACATCAGGGTTGACCCAAGAGTGAGGCATTATTTCAAAGGCCAGTTGCAGACTTCATAGGTCCAAATGGAATGAGATGAAAGAAATAAGAGATAGAAAACAGACTCAACAACAATAGTCAGGACAGAACTGGATAAATACTTCTGGAGAAAACATTCCAGGCCAAAAGGAGACAACAAGGTGAATGAAACAAATTGAACATTTTGCTCAAACAGTTTACAGATGTGTAAAGGGCTGAATGATCATTTCTGCACTACAGGATACAATGAAACAACAAGGCATGAGTGCCTCAGAACTTGTTAAATCACTGATTGAGCAAGGGCCCCCTTCCAAAGACCTTCAAGATTCTACAAATGAGTTTTGTGGTGCATTCAAAGACCAGGGACTATGTGTGGTACGAATGTTTTTAATGGGATTAAATTTAAGCAGGAAATTGTAGCATGGCTTACAGCAAAAAAATAAGCTGCTAGTTGCCTTGGTCTTATTTTCATTTTGATCTTACACACAACGAGCACCACCGCCAGCATTATTTCCAATATGGTAGAAATCCGATAGTAGTAAAGCATCGTGTCATTTTTAAAAGTCAGCAGCCTTGGTACTTACTTACCTTTCTCTTGGCATTCATCTGCTCCCTGTAGCGGTCTGAGGAATCTCCTGGAATCTCACTTGCCCATAGTGTTCTCCCCACAATGGTGTAAGCATAGCCCATCACCATCAGAGGCAGGAAGTAGACAAGGGCTGTTACGCAGACATGATACCTGTCAGAGATATTCAGAGTAGTTAGTGAAGACAAATGTCCAATATTTCAGTTGCATTATAGACTGACAGGAACTGTTGGTAACTAAGTTAACGTAAAAAATAATAAAAAGAGCTGCTTGTTGACTTGAAAGGCGGAAAACAGGTCACAAACAAATTAAAAACTGTGAATGAAGAACTGTGGATGCTGTAAATCAGGAACAAAAACAAAGTTGCTGGAAAAGCTCAGCAGGTCTGGCAGCATCTGTGAAGGAAAAAAACAGAGTTAACGTTTTGGGTCCGGTGACCCTTCCTCAGACCCGAAACATTAACTCTGTTTTTTTCCTTAACAGGTGCTGCCAGACCTGCTGAGTTTTTCCAGCAACTTTGTTTTTGTTCCTCACAAACAAATTAGTTTACTAATATAATTCTTACAACTGAAAATACATAAACCATCACAACATGATTCAAAAACAGAATGAAGAGCAAGAAATCTGGCCTTTTTGTGTTGGATTGTCAGTTCTCACAATTTATCCGATTTTGAATGTTTATGTTTACCTCTCTTATTTAATCTATGCATGTTAAGGTGACAGCCAAGGTGTGCACTGTGAGGTCCTGCAAAAAATAGTAAGATAATAGCCAGATAATCTGATCATTGATGCCACCAAACTCATCCAGAGCACTTCAAGCATTTTCTGTTTTGATTTCAGATTTCCACCATTCATTGTATTTTGATCAGATAACCTTCCTTGTCATGATTTTTTTGTTGAGGGATTGCAATTTGTCAGGCCATTGTGGAGAACTGACTTATTGCTCTGACGATAGCAGGCATGGGATAATTTTTCCTTTTACTGGGGCGGCAGATGGTACCTGTCTTCAATGCTTCACAATAAGGTGGCACATCTAACAGTGCAGTACTCCTTTAGTACTGCACTTGGGTGTAACCTCAGTTTGCACTAAGTCCTGGAGTGTGACTTGAATCCATAATCTTCCGGCTCAAAATGAGCCTGCTCCAAACTACGCAGAACTGATAATTACAAATAAGGTACACCTACAACTATCATATTCACTTGGAGGGGTTCTCCATTATTGGTTGTTGGAAGCCGCTCAGAAGAACATGCCGTATGACTCTATGACTCTGTGACTATGTTTGTCAGATGAATTTTAGCCGTAGCTTTGAAGTGCAGTTGCAAAAACAAACTAGTCTTATGGTATTCAAAGTGGTAGTTTGAATTTAAAATTAACTATACTTAGTCACTTAGCCTGAAGGTGATGACCTAAGTTGCAGAATGACATCGCCCTTCTTTGCTCTGTAGTGTCTGTGCGAGGGTGAGGTACATTCCAAATGAAGGAATATCCTTCCTGTTGCTTTCAAGACATGGTCCTTTATCAGAAACTCAGTAAACCAATGAAACAATGTGCAAGTTATAGAGCTTTATCTTCTGTAAAAATCTCCAGAAACAATTTGCAGTGAAAATGATACTGTAGTCATTTATCAACCATGTCACTGTACCTTTAATGTCTCTTGATTGACTTGTTACCATAGTAACATTGTCCTAATATATGGCAATTAAACACAGCTTATGCAAAACCCGTGAGTTCAGGTTATTTTTAGAAACAATCCATCTCTTTCTTTTTCTCTTGCTTTTCTCTCTTTTTCTTTTTCTTTCTCTCTCTCTCTCTGTCATGCTGTTCACCGACTTTGTTCATGGGATCAGAGTATGCAGAATTCACAAAACCGTAAACACTGAGCACTGTATACTAATGGCATTTAGTGTCCTAAGTGAAACGCATATATTCGTTTTAAAAAGAGTAAGACCTGATTCTGAGTGCTTTTTGTCATTCGTTCTCACCTGCATTCAACCTTATGACAAATCTTTCCTTTTGTCCTCTTCCCTCAATCCTTACTCAAACACACCCCCGCCCCCCCAAAAAAAGCCACCACCACCAGTACCAGCCCAAAACCATTTGCCTCTGTACATTCTTAAAATCTTTTTCTCTAATCTTTCCGGTTGTGATGAAATACTATTGTTTGGACTTAACTTTGTTTCTTTCTCCAGGAAGCTGCCTGACTTGCTGAGTATTTCAAGCATTTTACGTTCTGTCCAAATGGCAGAAAAGGCTCAAGGAGGAAAATAGTCTGTGTTTGTGGGTATGTGTCCACTTATCTTTTTGTTTGGATGTATATATGCGTGCGCATGATCATTGCCCCTTTAAATACCACCCTCTAAATTTCATCTCCTATTTTATGACAAGGTCCAGTTACGGAGTGTTTATACTACTCAACTGGCAATACCATGGCCTGGATTTAAGATCAGAGACATGAATTCAATTCCAAGCATTGTAATTGGAGAATTTAAGTTCAGTTAATTGAATAGATCTGGAGTTAAAATCCACTGAAAAGCACTGAACTTGAGACCAAGAGATTGTTGTGAAAACCTGAAAGGAATTTGACATACTAACTCAGTCTGTTCTATATGAGACTGCAGACATGCCTCTGATTGGAATGTCTATATGTTGGAAATGGGTAAAACTGCAGAAGCATGCTTCTATAGATTGCGCTGATACCCATATGTTGTAGTATTTGGAGAGGAAAACAGTGCAAGGAAAAGGAAAAGACAGCAAGAAAATACTGAGACATTCAGATCCCACAGTCGTGATTTCAAACACTTCTGTTAAGTCTTTGCCGTAAGTACTGTGAATTTGAGCTTCCATCTGATTATTGATCACTTGAGATCAAAGCATACAAATAGAGATGGACTCGTGCCTGCTTGATTTCCATCCTCAGTGATCTCTTGCCAGCAATGAAACTCATTACTTTAGTATGCAATCGACAGAAACATCATGCAAATTCAGGATTTACAAAGGATCATGGCAGATGTCAGAATTCAGCACATTCTCTCTACCTTTTAGCTCTTGGTTGTCAGCATGCAATTGAACTCCACAGACTGTGTGTCATTGGTAGTGGAAACAGGAAACACAGAAAAAAGATGGAGGTACACAATGAAAGAGACAGAGAGAGAAAACGTGGAGGATAAATTTTACATTAGGCCATGGCGTAAAGTGGTGACTATTGAAATATCGACACATTACTGCTGACCCAATATTCCCTTCTATTCACTTCATAAGGAGGACACATTACATTCATTCAAAGTTAGCATAAATCCATGGAGGCAGAAAGATCCATTTGAAAACAGAGAAAATTAGAGGGAAGAAAGAAAGATGAAAGGAAGCAGAAATAGAGAACAAAACAGAGGGCAAAAGAGAAATGGAGAATGATGGAAGGAACTGAATTCTTGGTAAAACAAAAGACCAAACCTCTTTCTTGGTGTTTTGGAGGAGCATTAGCACTTCTCCATCCATTTTCACTAACCTGTCTACATTTCTGAAGCTCCACATTATCCTTTGCACCATTCACAATACTTTCATGTTTCAAATCATCCACAAATTTTTAAGTTGCCAAAGTATCGATAATTATCTGACAAGTTTTTAAGTATGCCAAGGTGAAGATAATTACAACGTTTCTCACTCTGCCCTGTGGAGAACTCCATTATAAGCCTTCCTCCAATGTGGAAAAAAAAAAGTAACCACTGCTATCTCCTGCTTCTCATCCAGTTTTGCATCCATTTGCAATTTTTTAAGGCAGAGATATGTCAATTCTTGAAAAGCAACTGGATAAAAAGTTATAGTTAGATGGGACTATGGAATAATCAAATCACTCATGGTATTATTGAATAGCGGAGCAGGATCGAGGGGCTGAGTGGCCTAATCTTGCTCCAAGTTTGTACGTCCCTTTTGTTCCATGAATTATTTGTTGTTGTCCACCACTTTATAATAAACAATGCTAGACAGTTCACAGTGCTGTTTCTTCACATTACAATACTCACTTGCAGGTTTTACAAATGATTTTATTTTCAGTTGTTGGATTCAGAGAGTGACAGCTCTTTAGAATGGATTTTTAACTTTTGCACTGTTTCTAACCTCGTCAGTTAAATGTTACCAGGCAAGTTTGCCACTTTGGAATTGGCTTTTAAATGAGAATTGTTATGTGTGAAGTTTACCCTGTGAAACAGGTATCAATTGACACTGTGATGCAGGCCTGAAGCTGTCTGGTGAATGTTTCTAGGGTATTGTGTGCGAGGTCAGGTATTCAGACCTACTATTTATAAACTAGAACATCTGTTTCAACTCCTCAACTTCACAAGATGATGCCATCAGTCTCCATATATAACAGATTACCTTTCACAATTGTACCCACCCACACTACTAGATGTCCCCCCATCAAACATACGTTCCCTTCCCTTTTCAACACTGAATTTGATCATTCCCTTTGCAACACTCTAATCCACTCTTCAGTCATCACCATCCTCCCTTCCCTAACTCATGGCACCTTCTCTGTACGTGCAGGAGAAGACAAATCTTATACATTCTCCCCTACCATCTTTGCAAAGTCCACAAGATTCCCTCCAGGTGGAGCAGTGAGTTACTTGTACTTTGTTAGTTCCATTTATTCAAGTCATTGAACACAATGTGATCTCCTCTAGACTGAGGAGATATAGATTAGGTGACTGTTTTGCGGAACAACTTTGCTCAATCTTCAAAAATGACTCTGAGATTTCAGTCATTTTCCATTCCACTGCCACTTTAAAGTTTTGATTTTTATCTCCAACAATATTCTGATTAAACTGAATGGTAATTATCCTTGCTTGAAACTCCTTACAATTTAAAATTCTACGAATTCTGACAAAATGTCACCAACCTGACCATATTAAGTCTGCATCTCTCTCTCTACCCCAGTTGGAGGTTCGTTCAGAAACATCAGTCTGAAAGTGAGAGGGAAGACAGCACATAGAACATAGAACTGTACAGCACAGGAACAGCCCTTCAACCCTCCATGTTGTGCCGAACACGATGCCAATTAAACTAATCCCTTCTACCTCCCCTTGGTCCATGTCCCACCTTTCCTTGCATACCCATGTGCTTATCTAGAAGTCCTTTAAATGCCTCCACCACAACCCTTGGC